GTGAAAGTTTCAGTGGCACAGAGAGTGCAGGTTTTGAGTTCCTAATAACTTCTACTCCTGTTGTGGTCTCATTTCATATCAGGATTTTCACAGGAGAAGCCTGGGCCAGATCATAAGAATCACAAGACCAAGGTGATATTGACACTGTGATGACACTCAGATAACAAAACTGTAGAGCGGGAGAGAAGAGTTGTAATATATGACACAGCTTTGGTTGTAAAAGGCTTAGTCCTATATGTGATTAAAGAGGAGACTGTGTCAAGATCACAAACGCAGAGCCAGCATCTCAAATAGTAGCCCATTATAGTGCATGAAAGTGAAGCAGAAACATGCGACTCATTACTGGAAACAGAGTGTGAATACATGAGGCATGATTTGAGGGGTAAAGAGTATAGCTGGTCCTAGTTTTGATGAGTGCCCATAGAAGAGACAAGATGATAGCACAACAGTAGATGTGATTGAACCCCTGAGGAGGAAGGGAGAACAAATGTTGCACAGTACAAAGAAATAAATTCAGGCATTATCCTAGCATGAGATGATGGGATCTATCTTGCACTAGATGCCCCTTGGAACAGATTTGGGTACCTGTTGCTTTCTCTGGGGTATAAGGGGTATTACCAGGATTTGGCTGGAACGTGTCAAAAGCTACATTCAGCTTGGCTTGCTGAGTGCCTTGTTATTCCCTGGGCAAAAGCTCTGTGAAACATGTAGGATGTTACCAGCTTCATCAGAGGACTGGCTCACTTACTTACAGAATAAGTGCTGCGCTTCACACACCCAACTAAAAGCTAAAATCTGCCCTGATATGCAAGTGTATGATTTTGTCAGTGGGAACCCCATTTGTGACTTCTGCAGCAGAAAATAAACACAGGAAGTGGTCCAGTTAGCATATTAATGATAGAAGGAATCTGAAAAATCTAGGGATCTTAAGAAAGAAAAACACTGGGCTGGCCCAACTGACTGATGCTAGCGTAATATGCTCAACTGTAGTCTCCACGCCCCAGGCTGGCAAGGACTGGGAGTTCTGTAACAGCAACATATTTAGCCCTCAGAAAGGAGGGACTGCCTACTGTCAACCTTCAGGGACGTCGTCTGGCTGAAGCAAGAAAGGGCACTGATCACCTTTAGAAGGGACTCTCTGATGCATTTGGTAGTTGGGAACAGTGCTGGGCTGGCAACAGATGCAAAGAATGAGAGATGCTGTTAGTCCCATCTACCCTCTTTCAGTGACCCATGAAAAATGCTGAGGGAATTTCTGGATGATCCTAGGAAAGCTTGTAGTAGTTCCCCAACATTAATGGATAAATAATATATTCAACTGAGATGCTTTTTTTGCTAATTTTTCCTTATACTTCTATTATTGCTTTTACTTTAGGTGAAAGATATATTCAATAAGATAGGAGAAAAGCAATGGTTTTCAATTTTTTTTCTGGGGGAAAATAGGAAACTAAATTAAAATGAATAGTAGTAAAGAGCCATTCAGGTACTCAAATGTAGTGTTCCTATATGGTCCATTAATCAATGTTCTTCAAGAGGCTGAGTGCAAACAACCTGAATACATTATACCTGAAGGGTGTGATACTGGACCATGGAAACATGATCCTGGTGTTGCTAATTTCACAGTAAAAAGATTATTTTAAAAAAATAATTAATAATCATTGTTTTTGCAATCAATCTGTTATTTTTCAACAGCACACACATTGTGATATTAGTATATCAATACATTGTGATATTACTATATCATATGTTACATAGAAGTCTATATTTAATATGAGAAATTAAAAATATTTTATATATCATAAAGAAGCCACAGAAACCCAGCAAACATGTGACTGAATACTATCTCTTTAAGAGGAGGGCAAGTAGGGAAATCAGGCTTTATAAAACAGTGGGTGTGTCTACATGAGACGCTAAATACGCAGTAGACCGGGGTGGGCAAAATGTGGCCCGTGGGCCGGATGTGGCCCGCTAGGTCATTCTATCTGGCCCGCAGGGCCCCTAAAAAAATTTAGAAAATTAATATTTATCTGCCCCAGGCTTCCTGTCATGCAGCTCTCAATAACTTGCCAAAACTCAGGAAGTGGCCCTCCACCCAAAATAATTGCCCACCCCTGCAGTAGACTAATTCTACTGTGCATTAATGTGTCATGGAAAAAGGCATGCTAATGCGCAGCAGAATTAGCATACTGTGCATTAGTGTCACGAACAAGGCGTACGCTGGCACTACTGCGCAGTAGTGCCAGTTACTGCACATTGAGTTAGTGCTAAACTTAATGCACAGTAACTACAGCGTGTTAATGCATGTGTAGATGTGCCTAGTAGTTTCCAGAGAGACAGATCGAGTGAGGAAAGATCAGCAGGAACTGCAATAAGGAACATACAGGCTGATTTAGGAGATTTGAAGAATGGGTTGTTCCTGATTTTTTAAAAATTCTTTCTTTGTTTTCTGCTAAGAAACCAAGATTTAGCCTTGCACTTCATGAGTCCTTGAGATTCTTAAACTCTACAATCCATATGGCCTTGCATTTTAGTAGGTGAAGACACCTATTTTTAAAAAGTAGTAACTGAGGAATGCCAATATTTTTAAGCATTGACGTAATTTTGGGATGTCCTCTTTACGTTTTTGAGTCTGATTTTCAGAGGTGTTGAACACTCAGTTTTCATGGATATCAGTTGTTTCAGATGGAATAAAGTTTCTCAAGTTAGGCACCACAAACTTTGGCTAACAAAACCAGCGGACACTTCTGAAAATGCGCCCTTAATGGCTTGGACCATGCTCACTCTGAATTGGTGTGAGAAACAGGCTGTCAGAATAAAGGAATCCTAAAATCCAGTCCCCTTCCTTTGCCTCTAGACTGTACACCAGTGGTTCTCAACCTTTTTTAACTGAAGGCACCCCTCCTCTGACTCAAGGCACCTCTCAAATAATGGCAGCTCATAATTTGTCACCCATTTTTTGAATACAGAAACATTACAGAGCAATTTTTCTATTGCAAAGAACTCTGAGAGACCAGAATAGGACAGAAAGTTTTTAATGCTGTGGATTCGTATTTGAAATGTCTGGGTCTATCTTGTGAAACATGTTTGCACACCTAACAATGCTAATATTGTGTGATGCCTCACAACACCCTTAAAAAGATCTTAGGGCACCACAGGGTGCCAAGAAACCCTAACTGATGATCACTGCTGTACGCCGTCCAAAGAATGAAGGAGACTTCGAAATCCCTACCGGATGTGAAAAATAAAGTGTCCAAAGGGTGGAAACAAATTATTATTAATAATTAATAATAATAATGAATCAGAACTCCTACACTTCGTGCTGAAAGCTGCAAGTGGGAGAGGAACAGTAGAAAAAATCCTGGTCATATCCATCCGCTCTGCCACTGTGTGACACAGGATGCTGGGCACGATGGACCTATGGTGTGACTCAGTAGATGCAGTTCTTATGTTCTTATAAAAATGAAACAAATTGCTTGCTAGACTACTAAGTCTGTCTTGCCACAACTTCTTACAGATGGTACCTTGGAGCAAAAACAGAATAGGGCACAGACAAGCAGTTGTTATTTCAGTCTCGCCATGGTTTTCTGGGCTCCTGTAAAAATTAATGTTGTGGCATTTCCATCACTACTTTTAAAACCAAGTGAAGTACAGAGGTAATCCAGTTCATGCCATCTCATTCCTGTTTTAACAGATGAGCAGAAAATACCCTTTGATTCCAGTAGGCGGAAAATACCGATGTGACTGAAGTGACATCCTTCTTCCTTTGTGCACAGAGAGGGCGAGAAGTGACAAAGGCAGTTGATGATAGCTGGTTCTGAGTGACTTCTAAAAATGCCTTTCTTTTTAATACAACTCCCGCCTGGGTCCCCAGCAGTTCACTTTGTAAAACAGAGGGGACGGGGAAGCCACAGAGTGAGCAACTGGGTCTCACAGCAGACAGACACACAAAGCACAGGAACAAGGCAATGAGAGGCTGAAAGCCCAATCCAGTGGAGTCAAGCTAGCCCTATTAGTCTACCCTCTAACAGTGTGTGTGTGTGCATACACACACCTCACTAAAGTCTGTGCTGTGTATACATGTATGCACACATGTACACACACCATACAACTCACCAAAGCTTGTGCTCTGTGTGTACATATACACACACAGACATGTACACACACACGTACAACTTGCCAAAGCTGGTGCTCTGTGTGTGTGTCTATACACACATACATACACGTGTACACACATATGCACACACAACTTATCAAGGCTGGTGCTCTGTGTGTGTGTATATATACACATACATACACATGTATACACACACATACACATTCACATAGTGTGCCAAGGCTTGTGCTGGACATGCGAGTGTGCATATACACATACACACCCACACACGAACACACAGAAGGATATACACACACAACTTGCCAAAGCTTGTATTTGTACATGTGTATGCACACACACAAACGACTCACTAAAGCTAATGCTGTGTGTGTCCACACACACACACACACACACGCACGCGTGCGCGCGCTCAGCACAAGCTCCGGGAGCTGAAGCTCACTTCCCCAGGGGCGATGGAGGGGCCGGGGCAGAGGCTTCCCGGGGCGGCGCGGTGGCCAAGGGCCGCTGCGAGAAGCGGTGCCCTCGGGCGGGCAGGCAGGGCGAGGGCAGCGGGGCCGTGCCCCGGCTCGGCGGCGCGGGGAGTTACCCCGGAGAGCCCCGCGGCTCCCTGCCCCCTGCAACACCCCGGGCTCGACTGGGACTGCCTGGGGCAGCAGGAGTTGCCAGCGGTGCCCCACACAACATCTGGAGGGAGGCATACCCCCCCACACACACACGTCTCCGGCAACATCTGGAAAGAGGCATGCAGCCCCGTCCCCAGCTCCAGCTGCCCGATCCGCTCGCGCCCCCTCCAGCGCCCCGGCCCGGCTGGAAGTTTCTGCAAGAAAGTAGCGGCGGCGGCGCCCGGGGCAGCCGTCACCCGGCCGGCGCGCAGGCGGCTGCTTACCCAGCCCCGGCACGAAGGTGTTGAGGAAGAGGCA